TTAAAAAAAAAAAAAAAGTGAGTGATGAGGTCCTGGGGTAAAGTAGAGAAAAAAGAATGAAGTTGAGCATTACCATGGAATAAGAATCTTTAAGATTGTTGGCTTACAAATACCCAGTTTACACATTTAATAAAATAATTTTATATGAGTTATAACCCTAGGATCTTTGGGATGAGGGAACCTTACTGAAGTATACATGGGTAAACTGGGGTTTACTCTTTTTTTTTTCCCCTTTGGTAGCTTATGTAAATAAACATGTCAAGTAGTTTATGATTTGCTTATTTCATTGAAAAATTAACATTTTATTGCTTGATGTGTTTTAGGTACGGATAGATACATTAGGCTTGCTTTGTGAAAGTAATCGAAGCACAGAAATCGTTTCCATGGAAGAAATGCAGTGGATTCAATTCTTTATCACATACAATCTTAACAGTCAGTCCCCAGGAGTACGACAGCAGATTTGTTCTCTTCTTAAAAAGGTAGAATTTCTCATCAGAAAGTACGGGAAAGTGGTGAACTCTGCTCTGCAAATCATTTTTGAAAAGAGCTCTGATTTTGGGAGTGTGTGGGAATAATGGTCATGGGTTCGGACTGCCACATCCCTTCATGGCCTGTCTGAACCATTCTGTGATTCCATAGAGTTTACGTTTGAGATTCAAGTCCAGGGTGTAAAGCCCTTCCATTCTGGTGTAAAATAAATCAAACTTGAACTCTTTTTTTTTTTTTTGGAAAGAAAAAAAATGTAGTGATGGATCTTTCAGGGTGAAAGGTATTTTGAGAAAACTTTGGTGAGAGGAAGAAAGATGCCCTTGTAGTTTTATCATTTAAGGGCCTCATGAAATGGTCATTGTTGACTGATTCAACTCGACTTAATCACATGCTTCATTTATGGGATGAAGAATGGGGAGAGTTATAGAAGTGAGTATATCTTTAGTTTCATGCCAACCTAAAGGAAATAGAACTACGATTTAATGACTGTGTATTCTGGTTTGCAGTAGTATTTGGTTTTGGTTTTAAAAATGTGTTAATTTTCTGTCAGAAACACTGTAAATATTAAGAGTTTAGAAACCAGTACTTTCTTTGCTTGAAGTTTTAGTCTAAAGAATTTAGAAAATTTGTCCTTTTCCTTTTTTTAGACTGACATTTAAGATTAATGTGGCTTACGTATGCTTCATTTTTCTTTTTCTCAAAAGTTGTTTTGTAGGATACAGGAAAGTTCTCAGGTGCTTTATAAACTGGAGCAAAGTAGATCCAAACATGAGTCAGAGAATGAGTTAACCAAACAGCACCCTTCTGTTTCTTTACAGCAGTATAAGGTAGGTGATCCATTTCTAGACATACGGGTATTTAAGAAACATAGAACAATTATGAATAAACATTAAAGGGAAATAAATGGAAGTCTCGTGGTGAATGGTGTTGTTTCTGTGTTTCTTTCCTTCAAGCTAGTTTTACATACTCCTTCTGGTGCTTTAATACTTCTCTTGAGGTACCCTGAGTCATGGAATCAGTGCTGGACTTGAGGCCTGTTACAGAATAACAGTAATGGGTTAACCTCAATCCTTTACAGCTTAATGTGGGCCACATGAATTTAGTAGTTTAACAAAAAGGTAATTGCTGGCCCAGAAGTCCTCCATCCCTCCTCAGGGTAGAAGATTGCTGTATGTGGTCCTGCTTCCCCTTTAGACTAATATGACTTACAGTGGCTTGATATTGGTGCCTCCTGGTCTGTGGTCCAGCTGTAGAGGTTCCTGTCCATCCCATTTGGAGGGAGCGTGAAGAGTAGGGCTAGGTTTCAGGGCACTGTATTAATGGGATGGATGATGGAACCCCAGATATAGCAGCTCCAGTCTGGGCCAGAGCTTAGCTTGACAACCTTACATGTCTGTCCATCAGAACAGAATGAGTTTTTCACTGGTTTCTCACTCCAAATATAGCCTCTCAGAAGCAGAAATCTTACTGTCTTCTAAGACCCAGATAGAGGACAGAGCTCATGTATTGTATTTCATGTGGGGAAACAATTGTAATAAATTAATGATATGTTGGAGCCATGATACACTCGCTACTATGGATGGCCCTTAGTTTTCAATTTTATACTTGAAAGGTAAAAAATCATCTAAAGAAGAATATTCCTATACCAAGGATGAAGTCAGCTTCATCTCTGTAAAAATTAAAACAGTGAAGATTGGAAAGTGACAACCTAAACTTGAAGGACATGGGTTTAGTCCCATTTCTGCCACTGATTAGTTCGCTTACTTGATGAGTCTGTTTGACTGTAAGTGGGATGAGTAACCTCTCTGAAAAGGCTGGTTTTGAGGATTAAATGAGAAAGCTGTAAATTCTAAATCACCCTAAAAAGCCTCACTGGGAGTCATTAAAAGTGACTAGAGTGTATTCTGAGCACTTGCTTTGTGTGTGGACAAATTAATTATTTGTTAGCCTTTCTTAGATCATTGCTAGACATTCTAAGAAAACAGCTCTTTTGCTTCTTTTTTTAAGGGGTAAAATGACATTTGTGAAAACTGAGTTAAGTACTTAAAACACAAAACCTATGTTGTGGATTGACATTCTGAATTTTCACGTATGCATGGTTTCTTAGTTTGACCTTGTGAATATATGTGTTTTTGAAAACTAGCCCTTTAGAGTCTTAATCTGAGTCAATCTCATGGTTCTGATATTTCCTCCCAACTATAGTCATCTGTGGCTTTTGGAGATTGTGACTTTGGCACTAAATTACTTATCATCTTTGTAATAGTGGGTGTCATGCATGGTGTGTGGTAGGCTTGGTGCCAATCAATAGACTAAGTCCTGGGGGAGAAGAGGAGGCTCTTAGTTGGAAAAGATGTCTTCTAGTCTAGTGAAGGAGATTATTTCATGCCTAAATAACTGATATTATTAGCTTGAGTACTTCTAAATTTACAAAATGCTTTGTACCCTCATTCTCATTTAAATCTTTAATAACAAAACTGTGAGATAGGCATTATTATCCTCACTTAACAAATGTGAAAACCAGGGCGCCTGCCTGGCTCAGTCGGTGGAACGTGCAACTCTTGATCTCAGGGTTGTGAATTCAAGCCCCACATTGGGCATAGAGCTTACTTAAAAAGAAAATGAGAAACTAAAGCTTGGAAAAGTTGAGTAACATGCCCAAGATCCCTCAGCTACTAAGTGCTAGTCAGACCCCTATGTACATCTGCTCTCGCTTCTAAAATCTGAATAGTTTTTTTCCCTAGTCTCTGCTTAATTGAAAACTTGGAGGTAAGAAAGTACAGGGAGAATTTGGGGAACGGTGAATTCACTGTTGTAATGAATGACACCTAAGGTGCTTGGAGCAACAAAAGAGATGTAACAGGAAATGAGTTCGAAAGTCAAGTTGGGGCTGCGTATTGGATGTTTTTTGTTGTTTGCTCTAATAATCAAAACAGAGCTTGACTAACATGTGTGTGTATGTACAAATAAATAAAGTTTCTTTGTTTCCCTACGAATACAAGTAAAGTATTTTTATTTTTATCTATGAGGAAGCTGCTGTGCAGGTTCAGGAATTTCATATTGTAGTTACACAGCTAACAAGTGACAAAGCTGGAAGTACAAATCAATTTCATATCTGTAGTTGAGTTCCCTCAACTAACAATTGTTGTAGTTTCAATGAAACAATGAAATTGTTTCATTTCCTGTGCTTGGCAATGTAGCAGAATAGAATTAAGTATTGTATGGGTATTTGCAATTTGAAATCTATCACTTTTAATAATTTTAATGTCACATTTCGATAGCTTTACCTATATAACACAGCAAAAAACCTTAAAGGCAAATAGAGAAGATGCCTGAGTACTCTAAAGAGATTTTGAGTGCTAGGCTAAAGTATTTGGAAGCCTCACTAGGAGCTGTTGAAAGTGACAAAAGCATATATCGAGCCCGTTCTGTATGTTCAGGACAATATGCTTAGGACTAGGGATATAAATGTATGAACTGTGATCCATGCCTCCACTATGGTTACAGTGTGGTTGAAGGAAAGAACTATTTCTAAAAATATAAATGGTACTACAGTTAGGGTAAGATCATTCCCATAGGATGAACTTGTTGCCCTTTAACATGAATACTGTACTAATTTATAATAAAAATGAGTTTAGGATATTCTCAATAACTACCCTATTCCCTTGAAACCCAATAGATTTAATAAACTAACAAACTCTTACTTAGGTCTTATAAGGGCCTATAGGATAAATCCCCAAGATTGTATGTCATTGACCAAAGAATAAATGCTGAGATCTTTTCTGGTATCAGTTGGGACTAAAACTGCTTATGTGCTGCTCAGTTACAAATATACATTGTTAGGGCATAGCGGTATATGTGAGATGCTTGAGAATCACAGCTTTTCCTTATAAGTTTTCTGGTTTTCTGTTCTGTCATATCCAGAAACAGTAATAATAATTATTAACTAGAGAAAGAAGACTTTATCTTGGATAAACTATTTCCCATTCTTTTTTTAAATTGCATTTTACTAAAAGTTTGCATTTTTTTAATTATTTATATAAACAGAATGGTAGAGGAGCAAGAGTATCAAAGGGGAATATAGAAGACAGTGGAATAGTTGGATCTTTTTATGAATTGTGTCATTATAGCCACATTTATCAAGTATTGTACTTACCATATTTATCAAGTAGTCTGTATTGGATTTTTTTTGGTTATTTAAAAACTTAAAAAAAATATACATGCCTTTGATGCCTGAACATCTCTGGTGAAGAAAACCAATATTCATATACCTTTAGCACAGATCTTGCTTTTACCAAAAATGGGTGCTGGGTATTGGATTTTCTTGTGTGGACAATAGGAATTGTACTTCTTGTTGACCCTACAAAGGTCGGGTTCACTGAAGTCATGATATAGCTTATGGTCAAGGGTACCAATCTGAATTGTCAAGCAAAGTAAATAACTAATATTGTTTTTAAAAATCTTTTCCCTGTTAATTAAAAAAGAACCCCACTCTTAAAGGTGTTACTTTGAAAATAATCTATTATGAGTTAAAGATTATACTTATTGTAATTATTTATTTATTTATTTATTATTTTTTTTTAGAATTTCATGTCATCCATTTGCAACCGTCTTTTTGAGGCACTGTTTCCTGGGTCTTCCTACCCAACTAGATTTTCAGCTTTAACCATTTTAGGCTCAGTAGCTGAAGTTTTTCCTGTCCCAGAAGGTAAGCTTTCAATAATGTTTGGGGAAAGTAAGAATACATATTTTTTCAACATTTTGTTTTACTTTAAGTTTTAGTTTTGTTGTCTTTTGTTTAGGTTCTTACAGGAGGTTTTATTCTCAATATGTAATTCTTACTTGGACATAATTAAATTTGTTAGTAAAAGATGTAAGGCTGAGAAGTTGTTTTCAGTGATCATTATTTCCCCACCCAAAACCCCAGTTTTCATGAATTATGCTTATTATGAGAAGAGTTGCTTCTCTCAACCCCCAATTCATGTGTTGCTGTTTGAAGATAGTGTACAATCTGTTAAGTTTTAAAAATTAAAAAAATAATAGTTTATGTATAGCATTCCTCAATGAGTCTTTGTGGTTAAAATGTGGTTTCCATTATATGCTGTCAGTTTCATAAGTCTCAGTCTGGTTTCAGAAAGACAACATGAGGATGTCATTTCCAGGCATTCTGGTTTAGTGATACCCTTTATTTCTCCTGTGGGTTACTCAAGAGGATGAACAGTTAGCTTCCTTTCGAGTCTGTTTTTTCCCTTTTTGACAACAAATAGTTCTTTTTATCTCTGTACTTGAGTGTGTACATTTTGATGTGGATTTCTTGTTTGTGCTCAGTCTTCCTGACTGTGGTCAAATAGAAAAATATCCTGCTATTGGAGGGGATGGCCAGAGGACCAGGGAGCTTTACACTATAGCTGCCTTATTATTATTATTATTTTTTTTAGTTTAAATTTGTAGGCAAAGTGTAAATTTTTGGCAGGGAGGAGGACAGTTTTTGCTGCTAATACAGCCTTGCTTCATTTGAAGAACACCATTTTTTTTTCAAGTTTTTATTTTGAAAAGATTCAAACCAACAACAGCAAAGTTTCAAGAATAGTTCATGAACAGCCATGTACCCTCTACCTTAATTCATCAGTTGTTAATATTTTGCTATATTTGGTTTATCTCCATTTCATTAATTTTCTAACCATGACACAATGATCAAATTCAGGATATTTAATGTTGACATGATGCTGTTATCTAATATATAATCCATAACAAAATTTGCCAGTTGTCCCAATAAGTGGCCTTTTTTACTCTGATCTGGGAACCAATCCAAGATTACACAGTGCATTTTGTTGTTATGCCTCTTTAGCCTCCTTTAATCTGGAAAATTTTTTATTTCATGACATTAACGTTTTGCAAGAATGTGTCTTCAGTTGGGTTTGCCTTATTGTTTCCTCATGATTGATTCAGGTTGGGCATTTTGGGCAGGAATATAGCAGAGGTAATGCGGTGTTCTTCTCTGGGCATCGTATCAGGAGGTACATGAGTTTGGGTTGTCCTGTTAGTCATGATGATAAATTTGATCACCCGATTAAGATAATAAGTGTGGTAGGCCAAAAAGCAACCTACAAAGGATATCATCAAATCCTTAGAACCCGTGAATGTGAACCTTATGTAGAAAGGAGGTTTTTGTAGATATGATTCAATTAAGGATCTTAAAATGAGATAATCCTGGATTATCGGGTGGGCCTAAATGCCACCACAGCTGTTGTTGTTAGAGGAACAGAGGGAGATGTGACACACAGAACAGGAGGAGTCACCGTGACAGTGGATGTGGAGATTGGAGTGATACGGCTTCAAGCCATAGAATGCTGGCAGCCTCCAGAAGTGGAACAAGGCAAGGAATGAGTTTTCCCTTAGAGCCTCTAGAGTGCGCATGGCCCCACCAGCACCTTCATATTGGACTGATTGGACGTTAGTCAGAATGGCTTCCAGTATGGTGAAAAGTATATTTCTGTGGTTTTAAGCCCCCAGGTTGGTGGTGATTTGTTATAGCATGCACAGAAGATGAATACAGTGGTATCCATCAGTTAAGGGAATTTCAATGGTACTGTAACTGAATTTAGAAAATAAGGTTTGGGCGCCTGGGTGGCTCAGTTGGTTAAGCCACTGCCTTCGGCTCGGGTCATGATCCTGGAGTCCCTGGATCGAGTCCCGCATCGGGCTCCCTGCTCGGCAGGGAGCCTGCTTCTCCCTCTGACCCTCCCCCTCTCATGTGCTCTCTGTCTCTCATTCTCTCTGTCTCAAATAAAAAAAAAAAAAGGGATCCCTCCCTTGACCTCAAAAAAAAAAAAAAAAGAAAAGAAGGTTTTACCTGAGAGTGATTGATGATCCATTTAACAAAAATTTTTCTGTATGTTTAATATAGTTATGGTTGCACCTAGGTGTATGGGAAATAACACTAGCCTGAATTGCACTGGTAATTTTTTAATTGAGAGAGTAGTTTAACATATCTAAGTGTATTTTATAAAGTAAATAACCTCAGTCATCTTCCTAATGAATGAGTCGCATATAATTGGGCAGTGACTGATACCACAGTAATTATGTTAATTAAACAACTGGGAGGTAATGCAAATGGAGCAAGCCATCATTTACCCATTAACTTTATTTATTATTAATTTTTAGAGAGGGAGAGGGGGTAGGAAGGGGTAGAAGGAGAGAGAAAGAGAGAGAGAATCTTAAGCAGGCTCCATGCCCAGAGCAGAGCCTGATGCGGTACTGGATCTCATGACCCTAAGATCATGACCTGAGCTGAAATCAAGAGTTGGACACTTAACCAATTGAGCCACCCAGGCACCCCTTTAGCCATGAACTTTAAAGGAGGCTAAAGAGGCATGACCATGAATTACAGGATGGAAAACATAAATTCATTCTTTACCTTTTATCTCAAGAACTAGAATGTGGGTTTTTATGTTATTTTTTGAAGGACTCTGATTTGGGATTAGTCAAAATTGTTTCTACCTTTCCTCAAGTATATCCTAATTCAAGAAGAATAAGCCACGTGTACCTTTTTCACTTAGAATAAATGTCACAGTATTCATGGTGAAAAATTGGATTCCACAATTTTATTAAAAGGGTTTGCCCAGCAAATGTTTATTTAATGCTTATTATATGTCAAGCAGCTAAGGATATGCAGTGTACAAAACAAAATGCTTCCTATTTTTGAGCTTAGATATTTTAGTGAAGGGAGACAGACAATAAATTAACAAGTAATACATAGAATATCAGATGGAGATAAGTATTATGAAAAAAATATTTCAGGAAGGAAAGTGGGGGGAATATAGAGTGTCTAGGAGGATGGGGAGCTGTTTCATACAGTGGTGTCAGAGAGGGTTTCAGATTTGAGCAGAGCTCCTAAACAAGCAGTGGGTCAAAGAAGAAATCACAAAGGAAATTAGAAAATACTTTGAGAGGAATGAAAACAAGAGCATAACTTACCAGAACTTACGGGATGAAGCAAAAGCAGTGCTCAAAGGGAGCTTTAGAGCTATAAATCCCTAATTAAAAAAGAGAAAAGATCTCAAATCAATAAGTTACTTTACACCTCAAAGAATGAGAAAAAGAAGAGCAAACCTAACCCAAATCTAGCAGAAGGAAGGAAATAAAGATTAGAACAGAGATAAACGAAATGGGGAATAGGAAAACATTATAGAGAAATCAACGAAAACAAAAGTTGGTTTTTCTAAAAGGTCAACAAAATTTTAGCTATACTAAGAATAAAACAAAAGAAGGTACAAATAACTAAGATCAGAAATACAAGCAGGGACATTTCTACTGACCTTACAGAAATAAAAAGGATTGTATTTTCAATGAATTAGGTAACTTAAATGAAATGGACAGATTCCTAGAAACATACAAATTACTGATTTAACAAATAGAAAATTTGTTATCTGTAGCAAGTAAGAGGTGGGGGTCAGTAATCAAAAGCCTCTCAGCAAAGGAAAGTCCAGAGGGAGTAGCTTCACTGGTGAATTCTACCGAACGTTTAAAGAATTAATATTAACAAAGTCTTCTAAAAAATTGGACAGGAGGGAACATTTCCAAACTCATTCTGTGAAGCCAGCATCACCCTGGTACCAAAGCAGACAAAGCCACCACAAGAAAAGAAAACTATAGGCCAGTATCCCTTATGAACATAAATGCGAAAATTCTCAACACAATACAAGCAAACCAAATCCAACACCATATTAAAAGTATTATACCCATGACCAAGTGGAATTTATCCCAGGAATGCAAGGGTGTTCAATGTAAGAAAAAAATAGTCAATGTAATACACCACATTAAAATGAAGGGAAAAAAACCCATGATAATCTCAATTGATGCAGAAAAGCTATTGACAAAATTCAGCATCCTGATATGATAAATAAACACTCAAGAAACTAGGAATAGAAGGGAGCTTCCTCAATAGGATAAAGGACATTCATGAAGAACGCACACCTGACACCAAACTCAATGGTAAAAGACTGAAAGTCTTTCCTCTGTGATCAGGAACAAGACACAGAAGCTCACTTTGACCACTCCTGATCACCATTGTATACTGAAAACTTTAGCCGGAGCAGTAAGGCAAGAAAAAGGAATTAGAAGCATCTGAGTTGGAAAAGAAGTAAATTTAAGCAGAGGTGTGAATGAAGTGACAAAAACTCCATTTACTTGCTCTAGGAATTTCACGGGTTGCACTAACTTGTGAGTTAAGATTAAATAAATGCATATCGTGTTGAACATCATTCTTCAAATTAGCATAGGCATGTTTTCAGGTGTTATCAGAGTGGTTAATTTGTTAAATGTTGTTAAATGTTCTTCACATTCTGCTGTGAAACCCATTATTGCCATAATTGTTTAGTCTTAATCTTGGAGTTAAATGGATTTGGTGACTACCATCATTCTTTTGTGATAGTTTTTCTGTTCATTTCTTCATTGGCTGAAATTCATCTTCATTTTGAGAAGAGTTTTTGGGGAAATAGAGTTCTTAATTTCTCACACATTCAAAAATGCTGATATTGGGGCACCTGGGTGGCTCAGTCGTTAAGCATCTGCCTTCAGCTCAGGTCACGATCCCAGGGTCCCGGGATCGAGCCCCGCATCAGGCTCCCTGCTCCGCGGAAGGCCTGCTTCTCCCTCTGCCACTCCCCCTGCTTGTGTTCCCTCTCTCGCTGTGTCTCTGTCAAATAAATAAATTAAAAAAAAAAAAATTCTTAAAAAAAAACCCAAAAATGCTGCTATTGACATTGTACTTGATGGAGTAGGATTTTTTAAAGATTTATTTATTTACTATTCGAGAGAGACAGAGAGGGCATGGGAGGCAAAGGGGCAGAGGGAGAGAGAGAATCCTCAAGCAGCCTCCCCTGCTGAGCGTGGATCCCAACGCAGAGCTGGGTCTCACGACATTGAGATCATGACCTGAGCCAAATCAAGAGTTGGATGCTTAACCGACTGAGCCGCCCAGGTGCCCCTAGAGTAGGATTTTGATGTATAATTTTTCACTGTACCTTTCCCTGAGGATGTTGCTCCACTGTCTTCTAGCACTACATGTTGCTAAGCGTAGAGTAAAGCCAGCTTAATGTTTTCCCATTTTGGAGATGAATTGAGCTTTGTGCCTGAATAGCCAGAAGAATCCTCCTTTATCTTTGATGTCCAGTAATTCTATTAGGATATATCATCATATGATTATTCTGTGTTGGTTTAACTAAGACATGGTAGGACTTTGGATTCTAGGTTAAGGCATTTTACAAAGATATTTTAAAAGACATATTCCTAAATTTATTTCATTTTATTTGAAAGCTAACTTAGGAATCTTTTATATACAATATAACCTTTTGGAAGAGAATGAAGTGATTTTAAACAAAATTTTAAGAAGTACTTTTTATTTGGGGAGCTTTAATATTTACTTTATCATTTTAGGAAATAAATTAAGGAAAAATTATTCTTTTTTGCTAATGTGAGTAAACTGTGAAGTGTGAATCTTTGCACCAATTTTCTATAAATTTGGTCAGATAACTTCAACATGTTGATTTCCCTTTTCTTTTATTAATTATTTTAAGTAGGCTCCACACCCAATGTGGGTCTTGAACTCACGAGTCTGAGATCAAGAGTCACATGCTCTATCAACTGAGCCAGCCAGGTGCCCCGTCTTGTATTCACTTTTAAATCTTTTTCTATTTTTAGGTCAAGTCCAAACAGTGTATCAGCTGAGTCATGATATTGATGTAGGTCGTTTCCAAACACTAATGGAATGTTTTACCAGCACTTTTGAGGAAGTGAAGATTTTAGCATTTGATCTTCTAATGAAGTTACCAAAAACAGTTGTACAATTTCAGGTATTTGGACTTTTTCTTTGTAAATGCGAATGTGGTGTATGCCTGAAAACTTTCTATTTTAGCAGCAAATAAAGCAGGATTGTGCAGGCTTTTTGCATCTGCCTTCTTATATCTTCTGACTGTTTCAGGTATCATTAGTACTTCTACTCTTGCAGGGTGGTAGGTTGGAGGAGGTAGGGATGGATGATGTGGAAGGAGGAAATATAAGAGAAAAAAAACTCCAAATCCATGAGCTTTGCTTCTTTTATTGTTTTGATAAAAAGGAAGGTGTGCGAAGCAGTAGGTTTTATTGCTCACAAGAGTATTGGTAGATTTCAGTTAACTGCGGTCTCCCCCGTTCCCCTGGACATGTTAATATTCTGTCAAAACACATCACTTACAGTAACTTGCATTTTTTGAAATAACATCCTTGCTAAGTTGACTGGGAAGCCGAGTGTAAGTGAGGCAGAGAACGTGTTTCTGATCTTCCAACAAGCAATAGCTAAACTGAGACTGAAACTCAGAGTACTTGAGGTTAACAGCAGTTTTCTCCCCCGGCCTTCTACCCCATCCCCAGCCCCCGCTCTCTTCCTGACAGCAGGCACTGCCAACCATGGGGTGGGAAGCAAAGGTGGGCTCGGGAGTGTGGACACAGCATGGGGATGGGTCTGCAGGGGACCCACTAGCCGAAGTGCTTGGCTCTGCCCTTGAGGTATGTTCTGGGGCTGTGAGGTCACCAGCAGCTGTGGGTTTACTCTTCCAGAGCTTTGCTGTGGCTTTCTGTTAGAGCTGTATAGAGGCTGAAGGCACCTACAGGGGCTGCCGCTGAGCCATGGTCTATTCTTTCTCTGGCTGTTAGGCTCTATTTAGGGCGGGATAGCTTGTAGATGCAGTGGGATTCCCTTTTTTTTTTTTTTT